CTTCCTACTTTCAAGCACAAGCAGCAGTGAGAAAACGCATAAATAGAATTGCCGGTCTCAGGCGCCAGGACGACTCGGTTTGTGCAACAGAAAGAGAGGACAAGGAGGAAGTGCAAGCTTTTTATCAGAACTTGTATGAGTCCCAAGGTTTTTATGATGTTAATAATTTGTTGAACTTTGTTCCGATGAAAGTAACACAGGCTATGAATGATCTTATGAATAAACCATATGATGCAACCGAGGTGAGGGAGGCTCTATTCCAAATGGCGGCCTCCAAAGCCCCGGGCATTGATGGGTTTACGACGGGTTTTTATCAACGTCACTGGAGTGTTATCCAGGAGGACGTGACACGAGCAGTTTTGGATTTTCTGAATGGGGGTGACATGCCTACAGGACTTAACGACACTTCGATCACTCTTATTCCCAAGGTACGGCATCCACAGACAATTCTTTAATACCGCCCTATAGCTCTCTGTCCGGTTCTGTATAAGATTGCTGCCAAGGCAATCACTAATCGCATGCGGAGTATTATGGATGAAATTATTAGTGAAGAACAGAGTGCCTTTGTTCCTGGACGCTTGATCACCGACAATGTGTTAGTTGCATACGAAAGTGTGCACACAATGAAGCGGAGGAAGAAGCGGAAGAATTATTCTTATGCGGTCAAGCTTGACATGATGAAAGCGTACGATAGAGTCGAATGGCACTACCTGGAAGCCATCATATTGAGATTGGGTTTCTCTATGAGTTTTACTAGACTCATTATGAAGTGTGTATCTTCTGTCAGATTCTCGATTCGGGTCAATGGGGAGCCTCTTCCTTTTTTCACCCCTTCAAAAGGTTTGTGGCAGGGAGATCCCGTATCACCATATTTATTTCTAATTTGTGCAGAGGGCTTATCTTCTTTGATCAAGTCATATGATGGGGGATATATTGACAGGGGGATCAGAGCTAGCTTCAGATCACCTTGGGTTAGTCATTTATTGTTTGCAGATGACAGTCTTATATTCATCAGTGCAAGTGGACAAAGTGTGGACAGATTGAATACGATTCTGGAGATTTATGGCAATGCCTCCGGACAGAGGGTTAATAGAGACAAAAGCGCAATTTACTTCAGTACAAACACCCCTGATTCGGTGCGGCAAACAATCAAGGCGATGCTGGACATTCAGGTTGAGGCCTTTAGCGAGCGGTACCTGGGTCTTCCTACTGCTGTGGGGCGCATCACAAGTGAAACTTTCGACCACATTGGTGACAGGGCTCGAGGGAAGATGCAAGGGTGGTCTGAACGTTTATTGGCATGTGCAGGCAGAGAAACATTGATGAAATCAGTGGTGCAATCCATACCAACGTTTAGTATGAGCACTTTTCTTCTAACCAAGAAGGTATGCAAGAGTGTTACCTCCCCAATGGCAGAATTTTTTTGGAGCAGCTCTCTTGATAGGAAGGCAATGCATTGGGTCTCATGGGAACAATTGACGACGCCAAAGTGCAAAGGGGGCATGGGCTTCAGGGACATGCACCAGTTTAATCTAGCTATGTTGGGCAAACAAGGGTGGAGGCTGCTCACACAGCCGGATACATTGTGCTCAAGGGTGCTAAAAGGACGGTATTTCTCGGAAGTTGATTTCATGGATGCTACGTTGCCCAAGTCAGCTTCCAAGATTTGGCGGGCGGTTATGGCGGGCAGGGAAGCTCTCCAAGCCGGTTTGATCAAAAGAATTGGAGATGGCACATCCACTTCTATATGGACTGACAGATGGATTCCGTGAACCATCTCCATGATGCCACTGCTGCAACCATCGCCTACCACACTCGACAAGGTCTCTGATCTGATAGATAGTGATAACTGGTCATGGCGACAGCAGGTGGTCCGAGACAATTTCATTGCGCCAGATGCCAGGCCATTCTTAATATTCCATTGAGGCAAGGCGGTGGTGAAGATTTTCTCGCTTGGGCGCTCGATAAGTCATGCAACTATACTGTCAAGACGGCGTACCGTGCTCTTATGACTTAGAAAGAGCGTTTAGCTCTAGAGGAAGGGGCGGATACCAGTACTTCACGGGATGATCAACAGTTGTGGTCTGCACTTTGAAAGCTCAATGTTGTCCCGAAGGTGAGGGTGTTCTGGTGGAGAGTTATCCGCGGCATTCTTCCAGATGAGCACACACTCAAGAGGCGGCATATAAGTGAGATTAGCATATGCAATATCTGCTTAGCTAGAGATGAAGACCTCCAACATGCGTTGATGTACTGTTCGCATGCGAAGAGGTTCTGGCACGAGGCTCGGTCATGGTTTGATCTTCATCTACCTCAGCTCCATCCAGACTCTTGGGTGAGGGATATATTATGTCATGATCATTTCTCAGAGAAGGACAAGCCACTGATCATTACGATCATGTGGGCCATTTGGCACTCCCGCAACAAAATCAAACACAATGAGGAAGGAACAGATCCGACAACATCAATGCGTCTGACGAGAGAGGATCTCGCCATTCTAGATCTTCCTCGGAATCTTACTATGACCATGGCGGGGCATGGGTGGCGGCCACCTGAGTTTGATCACATTTCTATCACTACAGATGGCGCCATTGACTTCGACACAAGCACTGGAGGTGCAGGTGGTGTGGCTCGTTCGGCAACCAAGATGTTAGGAGCTTGGTGTAAACCATACATGGGAATCACCGATCCCCTCTTGGCTGAAGCTTATGCACTTCGTGACGGGGTGTTGTTTGCAAGACTTCGAGGCTTCACACATGTGATAATGGAATTAGACTGCATGGAGATGGTTGATCTCTGGAATTTTCGCCACAATTCGAGATCTATTGTGGCACCTATCTTAGTTCAGATTGGAGAGCTAGCTCGTGATTTTTCTCTTTTTGTTGTTCAACATGTAAATCGGTCAGCGAATATTCTGGCTCATCTATGTGCTAAGCGTCCTTGCACATTGCATGTAACGGAAAGCTGGCTTGATGAGACTCCCAGCTTCCTTGTGACAAGCCTTATGGTTGACTGTCCAAGGAATGCTCTTGTTTGAATAAAGCTCTCTGAATTGATTGCAAAAAAAAAAAAAAACAGTAGTAGTGCTATCGCTTCTATGGGCCGGCCTATTCACGGCTTCTTCTTCCACGTTTCTTATCCCACGGTCGCACCGGTTTTTGGTTGGTTCTAGAACGTTACCTCAATCAAGTTTTTTTCCTGTCTTTTTCGCTTTTAATTTTTTGACCTTGTGAACTTCTCAAAAATATAACATTTTTTCAAATTCACAAATATTTTCAAATTCGTGAACATTTTTCGGAATTGGGGAACTTTTTTCATATTCAAGAAAAAGTTTGCAAGTCTGGAACCATTTCTTAAAATTCAGAACAATTTTTTAAATCCAATTTTTTTGTAAATAAATTCAAAGTCATGAATACTTTTTGATATCTAGAAATTCTGCAAGCATTTTTTAAAATTCTGGAATGAAGATTTGAAATTTGGGACACTTGTTTCAGTGAATATTATTTGATATTCAGAAATTATTTTTGAAATTCACGAATATGTTTTGAATCAGGAAACACTTTTTACATTTTTGGTACAATATTTTAAAATTTGCGAACATTTTCTGGAATTAACGAACATTTTAAATTTAGAAATTATCTAATAGAGAATAAAACAGGCCAAAGTACATAAAACTGACTGAAAACTCGTTTTGTAAAAGAAAATCCATCAACAAAATAGATAAAAAGAAACACCAAAGAACCTCGTTGGTAGAGCTCGTGATGCTATGTGGGTCAGTCCAGTTAACCCTCTAGGGGGAGGGTGTGTGTTAGGTCGCTCCCCAAACAATTTTACGCGCGCATTAGGAGCTCTCTCTCTGTAGGAGCAATGCTACATCTACGTATGGAGTTATGAAACTTTTAAGTAATTAGCCAGTTGGCAGAATATGATAGGGATTAGGAGAGAGGAGGGGCCCACCCCATTGAAAATCAGGGGGTGGGGTGGGGGGGGGGAGGGGGGCAGAGAATTAGTTCGTAGGTCTAGAATTATTGCTCTCTGTAGCATCCGTTTGCCCTTTTTATCACCCCTTTTGACTTCTTCCTACTTTCTAAAACTTCATTTGCCTACTAATTTCAATGATCCTCGGCAAGAAGTCAATGTTTGCAACCTAGCTTTTATATTCCAGTTATTAACCAAACATTCTAAAAAATATATTAATCAAACATATTCTCCTGCAATTTTTGTTACTTGAATACACTCCTGCAATTTTCATTATTGGCACAACTTATTTTGGAATGATTTGAACACGCAAATTTCATTATTGGCACAACTTATTTTGAAATGATTTTAACACGCCTGTGGCCTGCCACACAACTTAGAAGAAGAGGTGTGGCAAAGTCCAGCCATTATATTTTTTTACAGGAAAATACTAGTACAATTTTTGTGACAAAGTCTAACTATTAACCAATCATATTCTCCTACAATTTTCATTATTTAATAAGTATGCTTGGGACTTCCTTTTTTCTTAACTCCTTAAGGACTCTTTTTTTTTTGACGAGGACTCTTCTTCTTGTTGTCCAGAATGCTTTAGTA